GTTTGGTTTACATGAATAATATTCAGTATTCATGCAGTAGCCCAACCAGCTCGCTTGGCAGAAATATTTATTTCGACTAAATATTAGCATAAATATCAATAAAAACCAAATAAACAAGAGTCACTATATCAGAAAAATCAAATAAACAAAAATGCTAACAGAGCCTGCAAACAGAACAAATCAGTAAAAATATATTGAAATGATCAGGCAAAGGGCCAACAACAATAAACACTTAGTTATACGAAGGTCACGGCTATCAACAGCTCCTTGATAAAATCACAAACTTGCGGGGTTATTCGGCCGGCGAAATTTCGTTAAAAACTGCAAAGGTGACCACAAAAACACACGACAGAGATGGTTGCGCGATAGATGTATGTTACAAACTGCTATTTCAATTTTTAATTTAATACATCCAAATTAGTTTGTTAAGGTGCTACTTTCAAGTACCGTGTTTTTTTAAACATTCTCTGTTAACGGTTATTCAAAGCTTAATATCTCTCAAAATATTCTATTAAGACGAATGAAATTTAGAATACTTAAAGTACATAGTTGAAGTAGTTTATTTTTTACAACGGCGTGAAAAATAAAACACGGTGTTCCCTTTCAATCTCAATCAATAAGTGATAGATATTTTACAATAAACTTTATCGGTAAACGCGTCACTAAAATTTGAGGTGAGCGACGGAAATATTTGTGTGACGATGCACACCAATAGTCACAATGGTTGATAGTCAATCTAAAATAAGCTGTTATTATTATCTGTTTTTATACGTGCAAACATTATACCGTGGAACTTATTGCCATTAGTTCTCATATCATTAATTTCAATTTGTTGAAAATGTACCAAATTTATAGCGTCACAACGTAAATATTTTGTGTGGTTTTTATAATTTACTGTATTATCAATATAAACATATTGACATAAATTATACAACATGCTCATATTATACAACATGACATAAATTATACAATATGGTTATCCATTGAATATAAACTTACCACGAATAGAGATTCAAAAGTCAAAAGTATTTGCGTACATTCATGGTTTAGAGTAAAAATGTGTTGATACAGTACAACAAGAATTTATATTAGATTCAAATATGAATTAATTCTGTGCCAAAATATATTGGACCATATATCAAACGGTTGAATCAAAGATGTGTTGAGGAGATGCGCATGCACGGTCACAGGTGTTTCATAATTCATATGCAAATGCATTGATCCTACTTATCTCTTATTCCAATCATCAATCACTTGTTTAATATTTACTTCATTTTTCCTAGTTTTTGTTGGTTGATTATAAGATAGTCCAGACATGACGGTATTTGTTGAATCCCATTAAAGACACACAAAATTCATTTTCAAATTTTTCCTGTTTCTTAAAGTAATACTTATTTAGCAATATGTCTGAGATATTTTCCATGTATTATTATCAGTTAGCTACAAGATATAGTTTGTAAAAGATTGGTTTGTTATGCGTCGTGATATTGACTGTAATGTCCTTTGAATAATGATACCACGTGCATGACAGGACATTTCTCCAAATATCGTCATGCATACAAATCAATGTTTTTAAGCTAAGAGACAACAACAATAATAACACATAACAAACATATAAGACATATTGCCACTGACTCTTCGACAACGACTCTTCAACACTTCGAACGCGTATATTTACATGTAAGAAAATTTACAATTTATTGTTTTCCAAAAGTGTTAGTTTATACTCAACTATCTCACAAAATACTAAAGCCATAGTACAATCTACAGTTTTATTTCATCCAAAAAAACGAAGACTGGTGTCTTTTGTTGGCACTTGACCTTGGTATGATTTCTCATTTTGGCAACTCAGTTACTGTACTTTGTTCTTTATCAAAAGCAATACTTTTGTTATATGAGTTGCTACTTTTCGAGTGTTCAGAAAAATTATCAATATCCCAGGCCAGAACAGTTGGAAAATGGCCATGGCGTAGGGAATAACAGAATATATTTAGCTATATTCAAAATATACGTTTTCAGCAGTTCTTTAATGGATATACTCATCTGTGCTAGAGCAGTCTTTTGACTTAATACAAAGGAATTTGACATACAATGTCCCAAGCCACTTAGTAGAGAAATTACTGAATCCGACTCTGTCAGTTGTCTAAGAGCCATAACAAATGCGATGCTTTAATGCAGGTTCACGATACTTCACGATTGCTTTACAGATTTGCAATGCCTTTAGGGCAGATTTACAAGGTCTTGTGCAAGTAATGTTAATCTGGCTTTGCTCTTGCACTGAATTCAACTAATGATAAACTAAATGGAACTTAATTCAAAACTAAACCTTACAATGCAGTGAAAACTATTATGCAGTATTTACAGAGAGAGAGAGAGAGATGCTGCCCGTCGAATCGACGATGGCTATTTGCTTCTGTCATCCGTATTGATGGACTTTTGCAGACTGCATGCACAATGAGAAGAGCATGGTTGTGCAGGTCATGTTCTATTGGCTTGGCCACGCGGTTCCATCTTCAGTGGCACAAATGATCGCGACGACTGTGAAACTACGCGGCTGCAGGGAGAGGCCGTCGACACAGTTAATCCGTGAGCGCCCTTTGCTGGCGTTTTTCCCGTTACGCCGAACACCATTTACCCATGGCTGGGGACTATTTAATCCATAGCTGGGCAAATCTTGTCAGACAGCAGGGCGTGTCCACACGTCAGTGGGCCTGGCCTGTCGTGACTGCGGGGGGTTGGTCTTCCGGAGGTTTCTGTCAGGGTTACCTCACCCTTAGCCTTTGGGCAGTCAAACCCTAACCGCAAGGCAACGGGTTCCAGTTAATTTAACGGCGCCGGAAACTCGCCCCTCGCCAGAGCCCCGTTAGCCGAACACAGGCTGCACCACGAGTAGGTGGGGTTGACTTGACTGACAGAAGCTTTATTATCGCTTGGAGATTTGCGGCACTTTTAATGCGCGTCCGTATCAGTCCTCACAACCCTAGTATTTACAGTTATCCAGGTAATCATAGCTTGCCCATTTTGAACCAACATGTGTTTCTTCCACAAATATATTTGGGAGTATATATTTTATTTGTTTCTCAAAGATATGGTCTTTACCGTCAGTAAATGATTGTGCGTAATTTTTCGAAGTATAACATTTCATATGATAGTTCCAAGTCAATGCTCAAAGGGTTCTTTTGTATGAATTTATTGATGTTTTCATACGATTGCTTATTTTAGTTTTTAGTTTTGCCCATTTCGACCTACACTCAAGAAATTTTTCCAGCCTTTGGCATGTAACTCAGCGAAGTTTCTCCTTAACACCGTTTAAATGCCAATTTGTAATGCAATCCGAGTATAGCTTTCTCCATGATGGTTTTGTTTATAACAAGAATGTTTCCACTTAGAAGCAAAATGGGTGAAGTGAGCGTGCGCAGTACGAGTTTTGCAAATGTGCCCATGTGTAGATAGCACAAAATAATGGCAGGTCAAATTTATCGAAGTGCGTAAATCGCAAACTTTGAAGAAAGATTTCTCTGAATTGTGCACCTGTTTCGCTTGGGGAGCAACGGATTCTGGTTTAGGAAATTATTATTTTTCTACTCATGTAAGAATTATGTAGCCTCGAAAGGGATGCAACGGAATCTGTTTTCTTAGCATCTTTTCGATGCTCATCCTACGGCTTATCTTTGTGTAATCTTGTGTCTGGGAAAAAGATTTAGCTTCAAGAAATTATTGGTTTTTCTACTGCAGGTAGCGTTCCATGTATTTTAGACCCACTTCAAACAATTCCAGTAGAACTTGAAAACAATACAAAAGTCTTACAGATTGGGGTACTGTTCACACGACGCCTGTATGAAAAAGTATGAAACCGTAACGTTAACCGTAATAGTTTGAAAACGGTACAAAACAATACCGTTTCCGCTATGTGCGAAAATCTAAATGTAAGAGTTTCATTAAGGTTTGGCAAAAGTTTTATGCAAGTATCGTGTGAGTGTAGTCGCAGTTCAATGGCTGAGACCCCACAACTCAAACCTTTCCGGGGGAGCATGCCTAGAACACCCCTCACGTTCAAAAAAATCCTAGATCTGTCTCTGCATGAAGAGAGTCTGAATTATTTGTAAAAAAGATCTTTTGCATAATAAAATTAATGCGAAAAAAAGTTTTGTATGAGCAAGTGTTGTATCAAAGATTCTTTGAGCTCTATAAAATACAATATCGTTGTAAGTTTGTGAAACAAGTTCTCATTTGGGACTATCATATACAGAAAAACGTTTCTAAGGCAGATTTTACTGATCTAGTACGGTGCAGTTTACCAATTGTTACAACAACATCAAAAACAATTTTGAACATTCTATTCATATTTTTCAAGCCCAGCTAAAGACGATGCCACACCAATGCACCTTTAATAAGCCCACACCGTAAATAGAGATGAAAAAATAACTGCCAAGATTCGATCCACGGCAGTTTTTTGAGACAAAACGGAAAATATTGCAATGTATTTTTTACATTCAGTAAAAGGAGCTATTTTTTTCATAAAATAAATGCCCTTTAATGATATGTTTTTACTGATTTCAAATCAATACCCAACACATTTTGTTAAAAGAGATATTTCAGGATGCTAAAAAGATCTCCCAAAATGCAATAAAATTTCTTAGCAAAAAATAATAATTGCATGCCAACTTTTAGAAATATGACGTATTTAAAAACAACATTGCATGCCAACTTTTAGAAATATGACGTATTTAAAAACAACATTGCATGCCAACTTTTAGAAATATGACGTATTTAAAACAACATTGCATGCCAACTTTTAGAAATATGACGTATTTAAAAACAACATTGCTTGCCAACTTTTAGAAATATGACGTATTTAAAAACAACATTGCATGCCAAATTTTAGAAATATGACATATTTAAAAAAAAATTGCATGCCAATTTTTAGAAATATGACGTATTAAAAACCAACTTTTAGAAATATGACGTATTTAAAAACAACAGTTTTAAAAAAACAAGAATTGTTTTCACCTTTTATTTTTAACTCAACAATAACAAATGCAAATGAATGCTAACTAAAGAAGGTTGATTACGCGGTATAAAAATCGTTTAAGTTTTTATTTTAAGAAAAAGGACCATCCATAATAAATGGTGGAGAAGGTAGTCCTCCACTGTAAACAGCACACTTCAATGACTCGCAAGGATAGTCAGACCAAGCATATCTGACCTTGTCAGGATCACAACGGGCCAGTAGGAATACGGATGTGATGGTATTGTAAACAATTGGTGACGCTGACCAGCTATCATTACAAAGTATCTATGCAAAAATTAATAAGGAAATTTATTGCCTGAAGTAACTTGGCTACTTTTGGAGTATGCTTGTTATATTTTTAAGACAAATCCGTGTTTATATAAACACGTCAAAAGTGTAACACACTGAGCATGAAGACACTTGCGTGTGAAAGATAAAAAACTAGACGGTCATGTTTTTATGCACTGTTATTATCAATAGTTTTTAAGAATGTTTAATACTTACTTCAAAGCCTGTATTGCTCCGTATTTCAATACTTATGTTCACAGATTTATAATTTATTACAAGAAGCGAATCATGCTCGATTGCAATCTTTTTGATTTCGTATACGAGCGGTCCAGTGTAGTATCTTTCTCTACCGTAAGCTAATGAAAGACCTGATAACCCCAAGCGATAGCCAATATTTTCTTTGTCAGTTGGATGAATGCTGTCATGTGGTGATAAAGGATTTCCCAAGTCCATTGCTACTGCCATAAAAGTTTTTTTTAGTTGTGCATTGGGAGCGTAGCCCTTCCCTGCCGTCTGGTCCCAACGTAACGGAGCAAAATTGTTTTCATTCGTTGTTGTATCATTACCAACAGCTGACAACTAAATAATTATGGGTATAAATCAAATATTATTTAATAATTGAATAATTTTACAATCCTTACTTTAGATTTAAAGACGCCTACCTGTACAAAACCAAAGGGAAACTGTGGATCAGTATTATTTTGTGTAGAAGCGTACCATTTTGCTCTCCAATCATTTATCATAGCAGGAAATGTACAGTTATATGGCAACACATTAAAATCTCGGGCTAAAGCATTTGTCTCTCCTTGATAAAATATGGAACCGTAGATTGTCATATTGAGAAACGGAACAATCATGGCATTCCACATACAACTATATAGAGTGAAGCTGCCAATGTCAGGGTAACCTTGTGGTCCAAGAAGTCTAAAAAATTATACAAAGCAATGTTATCTCTAAATGCAAATAGACTATCCGTCTTATAAAATTTAGCTGGCATATATCTCTCTGTCCTAAGATAATAATAATTTTGAAAATGACACATTTATTTCTAATAACTAGACAAGACAAGTTGCAGGTCGCAATTATGAATTAAATTTTTTGTGAGATATCATTCCGAAAGGTAATCATCATTAGTTTCCAATGGATATGTTGCATTATATTATCATAGCCTAGATTACAGAAAGATTCTACCAGGAAAAAGTTTTTGACGTTTTTGTTTCGAAGATGCCATGTTGAAAGAAAGCATCTTAATTTGCACAAAATAAAAACTTCCAGAGAAAACACGTACGTTTTCATTGTATCTCCAATGAAGCTTTAGTATTTAGAAATGCATAATGCATTGCTTGTTTTTTCTTTTTGTCTACATACCTTTTAAATATTTTCGTGCTTAGAAAAGATATTTGCTTTCAAATAAAGATTATTGTCTAAGTACGATAATTTAATCCCAAGCATAACTTTATTTCAACATGGCGAAACAGCCAATAAGTTTAGGGACGAAAGAGCATAGCAAGTGAGTTTTCTAACCGATTTTTCGTCTGTTTTAAGTTTAGAAATACGACGTAAATTTTATACATTTGCCATAAATGTTTCTTCGGATCTTTATTTTTTTTAAAAGTTGATTAACGCTTCGGGAAAAGTCTTTTTGCTTGTTGACTTTCAGAAACTGTTAATAGGAAACTTGGAAAATATTGATTTATCTTTTGTAAAGAACTCGAGAAAATAGAGGTGATAAAAATGATAAATATAATGTTTACCTATGATGAATTACTGAAAAATTTTTTTTAAATTTGACACCATTGCGCAAAGTTTTGATTACAAAAACATTATTAATATAGAGGTAATCATATAATTTTAAACGAAATTACGTATAATCATGCACACGTGAATTTTTTAATACTCAAAAAAATGCAATGTTTTCGTTCTTTGCATTTTTTTGTAATTCTTTAGTCTTACAAGAATGCATTTGTCAAAACATTTGTATACTTACAACTCTTTTTATTTGAATAAAGAATAAGTTTGTTTGGCTTTTACAATTTCCAAACATTCAGGTTAAAGTATTTAAGGCGCATCTACACTCATACATTACTATAGTACAATAAAAAATTAACTGCTTTGCAATCAAATAATCACACTCGATAATTTTTTCGAAGTAAATTATAAACTCTGCAATCAAGTATAATAGTTTTAGCTGATTTAAAAAAACAAAGTCCTTTCAGTTTAAGTGATCTGTAAGAAAATGTGTCATGAAATTTTTAAGTTTCCCAAAGAGCCTAAATCTCCTTGTAAATTTGTAAAACTGTTTTTAGTTGTTTATTCATTGACAGTAGCATAAAAAAAGAAGGGAAAGGGTGGTTCTGACTCTCCAAAAAACAGAAGTAGTTCCTCTGCAGAAAGGTAAAAACAGGGAAAGAACTTAACGAGAGAGAGGGGTGATATGTATCCACAAATCCTACATTAACTCTTTTGTTTGAGTGTTTACTTCCGTATTTATGTACTTCACTGTGTAAATGAAAATATTCTGAATAATTGAAATATTGTAATTACTCATGAACGAAGAAAAGTTACAAAGTGTTATGTTTAAGTCTATCTATTCTGACGTATGATGGAAGTGTTATAGAGATTCAAAATTCGGATAAACACTTTATTGACATCATGTCTCAAAGAAAAATGAACGTAGCATAACTACTATATTACGTTTAATGCAGACGTCCTGAAGATTCGGATAAAAGTTATTATTTCAGAAACTGTATTACTTCAGTAAGGTTGTAATTACTTTGAAAGTTTTCCTTATTAATGTAGGTGAAATTTTCTCGTTGGTAAATTTTGAAATTAAATCCAAGCATTTTGGCAGTAGTTATGTTTACTTAAACATTAAAAATCATGTTTTTCCTTTAATAAAAAACTTGAAAATATGCAAAATCACTCCCAAAAACACTAGAATTTGCTATTGAGGAGCTCAAGATTGAACAATTTTTCACCGAGAGCATGCCCCTGACCCCCTAGATAGGTCCACGCCTGTAGCGTTTGAAAGTATACCCCCCAAAAATTCATGTCTAACTACGCCACTATATTTTGGTGGAAAAGTTTAGAAGTATACAGATTAAGAGTCAAGAAACAATCGTGTAATTCACGTGGAAACACATGTTTCATAAATGGTTATGTTCTGAGTAAAATAAAAGCCGTATAAGATTTTAAAATTGACAAAAACAGGACAAAACTGTCAATCTTCTAATGTTAAGCTATTAATTACAAAAGACAAATTCATAGGAAAATGTCATGAGACTTACAATATTGGTGGAGAAATTAAGACATTTCCAGTCCATCCACATTGTGCGAGGGCATCAGGAGAAGACCATGATTCTATAGGGCTTCCACCAAAACTGCTTCCAATCAAACCGATCGGGTAGTTCAGCGTCTTGTACAGCTGCACTCCATAATACCAACACAAGGCGGAGAAATAAACCCAAGTTGTTCCATTAAGCGTTTCTGGTAATATAAAGGATAAATTATTATGTTGAGATGATGTCATATAAGTTTATAAAGCATATGATACAGTTGTGCTTTAGAGCTCACGGGTATAAAACTCTGCTATGGAATTTTAAATAAAATTTTTCGAACTTTTAGGTTTATTGTGTTCTTGTTCAGTAATTGAAAATTGTATAGAAAAGTAATATGATGTTAAAACGCTAAGTCAGAGCACAATTTAAAGCAAGGCAGATAAAAGACAGCTAACCTATAAATGATATTCAATTTCCTAACTATTTAAGAACAATTATGTACTATGGTCTTATTTGGATTGTAAATCATACTTTGAAAAAGCTACTTCCGAATAGTAATTTTATTTTATACTTATTAACAGTCTTTGGTTTCTTTGCAAACTGTCTTTGAAATTAAACATGGTGTAGAGTAACAAACTGTCCGTTCAATTCAATTCAATTCAGTTCAGTATCTCTTCATGATTTCAAATCGCTTATTTTAACTGAATGACAAATACCTGTTGAAGGAATGGACCAAGGCAATTCTACGCGGCTCACTTCATTAAGAGGAATCATAGAGCAATCGAGGCCTACACTAAATATACGTATATTTGGATAGTTTATGGATTCATTGATAGCCTGGCTTCCATTTTCCGACTAAAATAGAAAAAAAAAGTCTATAAGAAATTTGCATAAGTTGCTCGTGCTTATTGCAATACAAGGTTTTAAATTAATCAGTTGAAACGGTTTCATATCTTTTCATTTGTACATGACAGAAAATTATTGAATTTTTTTTTATTTCAATGCACTTAATTAAACAGACATCTTCAATGCTTTCAAAGTGATTTTCAACAATTAAGGTGAAGGGATGCTCCAGGGAGCCGGGTAAAATATCCGAAGGTTGTTACTGGTTGACATGATTACAAGTGGGTGCTTAATCTGAAACATGAGAAAATTTGATTAAAAATTGCCATTTTTTATTGGTAAAATAAAATTGGATCCGTATCATACTTCAAAGTCAAAAATATTTTTTATTTCAAAGCTAAAACGAACATGAATATCGACTTAGATCATATGGATGGCCAAGAATAAGCCTGTTCCTCGTGTTAATGTGTTAGTGGATTTAGATTATGAATAATATTATGGAGGAACTGGATGATAAGGAAGTAACGGAAAAATAATGTAATGAGGTCGCGAAGAGATCGTAATCACTAAAAAGGAGTTTTTGAAAAGATCTGCCATGTATGCATTTATTATGTATATATTTTTGAAGATTATGATATCTTGGGGAATTTTCTTGACGAGATAAAATACGATCCATGAACATGCTGACTTAAAACAAGAAACATTTAAATGTTTTGAAACGCTTATTTTTACCTTTTGAAAGGAATGTAGCTTAAATTTGACATTCATCTAGTTTTGAATGTGAACAACAAGTCTTTTGCCATAAAAATCGAATGAATGAATCATCCTTAAAGTATTTTTCAGACAAAACTGGCAGAATTTTACGACAAAAAAGCTGCAATGATTAACGCAAGAATCAATAAGAGTTATAAAGGTTTATTAATCATTTCTGAACGTGAACACGATTGCTTAAAGATTGGACGTGATGAACGTTTGATGCAAAAATTTCACGACTTTTCCGAAAACGTATCCGAAGAGATTATTAAAGTAAATGGTTTGAGCCCGGGAGTATCATTACATGTTTGTAGATGTAAATCATCCAGGTTAGAATAGTCCTGAGAAGGACTGTTTTTCTTGTTGTTGACTGACGTTTTGACAACCTTAGCGGTAGTCATCTTCAGAGTCAAAGAAATTTACAAAAGTTGCTCGTGCTTACTGTATTACATTTTTTTTAATTAATCAGATTAAAACGATTTCATATCTTGACTATAAAGATGACTTTGACTCTGAAGATGAGTACCGCTAAGGTTGCCAAAATGTCAGTCAACAACAACAAAAACAGTCCTTCTCAGGACTATACAAACGTGGAAGATCTACATCTAAACACGTAGAAGAGATTATTATCATGAATTTCAAGAAAGCCATTGAAAATCTCAACCCTCCATTTTATGGTTTTAAGATGATAAGTTATGAATTTTAGGACTGACATGAAATATTTATATAACATTTGTGATAATTATTTCAGTTGATCATATGGCCATTCTGCCTAGCACAGATGGTTTTTTAGTAAAATGTCAACAATTAAACATTCTTACTCAAACTGTAAATTGACAAATGATTAAACAATGACCTGAGTGCATGATGTGTTTTGAGGTTTCATACGACTCAGGCGGTTTGTGCGTGACTAAATGTTTTGCATGTTGATATTCATGTCACATTTGGTTGACATGTTTGAAAGTCTAACTCACATGTTTCCACATTTGTGCGAAATGGAATGTGAAGTGCAACTTATATGCAAATTAATGTTTACGTGCTAACACATGTGAGAATTTTAAGTTTAAATTTCATTATTTTCTCCATAAAGCAACAGCTTGTAATAATGCATTTCAGTGACAACCTTCAATTTTTTTAAACCTGTTTCCCTTTGTGCAGGAGCCTACTTTCCTAATTTACTTCATATTAAAGGCGGTGAAAGATTAACAATTGGAGAGGGGCTATATTCATATATTAATAGGTTGTAATCTGTAAACACGATTGATTTCAACAGAAACTAATGAAGTAGAAAATGCATATATGAATAATAGCCCATCCCCAATTTTTATGCGAATACGGACACTGTTCTCCATTCCCTACGCTAAGAAACATATGCTATCTATTTTAGATTTTTTTTAAATACATTCTAATAAAAAAGTAATTAAAAAAACTATTAAGCCAAAATTATTGGTTTTCCTTTTTTTATTTATCAATGTGCTTAAAATATTGAAATGCATAACAATCTTTGCGTTTTCTTCCCAAAATAAGATACCTGCTCGGACATTTGGACCGTTAAAATGAAGTCAAAGCGTCAAAAATGTCAGATAGTGCTAGTTGTCGGAAATTATGTAAATAAATTATGATTGTTATTTGAGACTAGGAACTTATCGTTAAAGCGGAAATAGGAGCTTATGATTATTGAGTATATTAGAAGGGTTAAATTAAGACGGCATTGTCTTTTGTTGATGCCTGTGAACGAGTAAGGAGCATGAATTGAAATTGATGTATAACTTTAACTAGAAAATTAAATTGATAACATTTTGAGAATTGTGTTTGACTTCGCGCTAGCTTTAGATAGTATACAGTCCCATAGAGAACCGGCGACGCATAACTGCTTTGTGCTAACGTGCAAAGGAGAAATTTGCTACACGTGGTCCTTTGAGTCGGAGCTTTTATTTGGAAAATTCAAATTCGGTAGTTGGAAAGAACAATGGAAGAGTTAATGAAAAAGAAACAAGTGCGCGCAGGACATAGAGGATAGGCGAGAAAAATCGCCAGTAAATTTAAAGACAAAATAAGAGAAACAGACGGTGAGATCGATAGAAATGAATTGAAACAATTACGAGATGGGTTAAATGATAAAATTGCAACATTGAAAGTCTTTGATGAAACGGTTATCGAACTCCTGAGCGAAATAATTGAAGAAAATGTTGAAGAAGAATTGGGTAAAGAAATAGAAGAGGCGGATGAGATACGAGCGGAATTCGAGAGACTAATTTTGGATTCAAACGATATCATCAAGGAGTCAATTCCCCCAGTTGAAACTAGAGCATAATGGATAATCGTTGATAAACAAGGGGCCTGGACCCAACTGCTATTGTTGTTTGTCATTCATAAACGAATGACCTCTGTATTTTGTCTCTTAAAGGACACATGCAAGCTAGAAGACAACTTTATTTTATTGTAATGCCTATAGCGTGAAAATAAGACGTACCAAGTTTCAAAGTCGTCCGCAAAATATTTCAAAAGATATTTAGGGTTATAATCGGTAAAAACACGATATTCGATGACCATTGCTAAAACGCCGTGAGATTTTTTAAGTCTGGGAACTGGGAAAGAGTGACGTAATAGTTGACATAAACAAGCTTCGTTCTTATATCGTTCTACGACTTGCACGGCTTTCGGTAGTTTGCTATTACTGTTTTTTTATTTATCAAAAATTAATGGATTCTTCTGAAGAAGATGCCGATTATGATATTGTCATTAATAACAATGAGGTACAACCTTACATGTTTGAGCTATTGGCCAACGCGCAAGGTGGTCATAGTAATGACAATTCTCCGTCATCGGAAAGCGAAGATAAATACATTCACAGAATTGGAAATGTTGAACGGTTAGTTGCATTTTATTGATGCTTCATTGTTTTTCCCAAAGTAAAAACAATGTTTTTATCTTTTAGGTGCGAATGTGGCTTTTGTGTTGTCATGAGTACAGGACGGGAAAGTATATGTTGCCAAGAGGTAAACAATACTGATCCTTTGATACATGGCGATCATATTTGTATCACACAAGAGGAAGAGTTTGCCACAGTGTGTAGAAACGAAGCTGTCGTAAAAACAGCTATGGTCGTGTACACACATGACATTGGACCTATGCCTGAGAGTGAAGAAAACGAGTGAGAGTCTGATCCATTGTAGCTATTGCTCATCGTCGACGTGTGCTTTCTGTATCAGACCATACAGCGCTGTCCTCAAAATGTTCAATTTCACATGACGTCGTCTGTGTGCTGTGATTTTTTGTTGAAATTAACTCAACCTTTAAATAAAATTATCGTATTGCTGGATTTTTCACAAAAATCAAAACGGCCGAAATGGAAAGTCTATAGCTCTACTTATCATATTTGGCACTTTGTTTGAGTGGTTCTTGACCTTACGTGTTTTTGCGGACGGATTGTTATGGCTGCTTGGCATTTCACATTGCGCTTCTAAGGTACGTTAAGGAATTTTCTATGAGTTAAAATAATAAAGAAAAGATCAAACGGCATTAGTCTGAATTAGTTGCCACTGTATATGTTTTTGTTTCGCTGTCTACATATATTTTGACATCTTTATCTTAGACAAACTTCATTTGAGGTAAAACGCACAAACATTTCGATCCGATGTCGACACATCGTGGTCGTCGCCTACAAGAAAGTCGTCATGTTCTGCAAGAACGTCGTCAATAATCTAAAATTATAAAATTGTCCTCAATTTGGTAATGCTCTATAGCTTAGTTTTTATAAATGTAAACAAATATTGCTAAATATAACTATAATAATCACCTCTTGCCTTCGTCTCTTCTCAAATGCAGTTCTAACATTTGTTGGTTGCTTCCTTTTAGATGGCTACACTTGTGGGTTCCACAGAGTATTAAAAAAATCGTGGATACAGCATCCTTCTTAAGGCGAAGCCGTCCTGCTGTCCATCCTACTGATTGCATCGCTTCAAAATTTTGCACGAAGCACGAACTCTCGAAATGTTGCGAGCACAATTTTGAGCTCTTTGTTGGCTTCAAATTTTTGCGTCGGATTTTTTCAATCCAAATATCTCGCATGCGCTTGTTTTCGGGAATCGAAAAAAGAAACCTTTTGCTGCGTTTTATGGTTCTTAGAAGAACCGTTTTTATAATTAAATGCGGCACAATAAACCATATTTTCAATGCTAAATTGTCGTGTTGTTAATGCAGGCAAAGTATATTTTGAACGAAGCGCGCAATTGACCGCGTTTAGCTTATGTCAACTATTACGTCACAACGACATCGGTAGCTGTCGTTAGCTCGTCGGGCATTTTTAATACGTTATCAGGAAAGCATCAACTTTAAACCTCCATATCTTCAAAAATATTTATCCTTTGAGTCTCAAACTTTGGTGAACTATTAGTTGGAGCTATACCTTTATGTAAAGTACAAAAATAACAATCCGAATTTTATGTTGCATGTGTCCTTTAATATATATTTTACAAGATCCTCATTTCGTGAAATAGACTAAGTCTTATCTATGACAAACAACAATTTAAACGACCTATAACGGCAGACGAGCGAAACACAGACGAAAAGATCGGACGATCTAGCACTGTAAGTAGTTCGAAACGTGACACGCCATCAGCAACAACACGGAACCTATTTGGCCAAGGGGCAGGAGCATATCTACGAAATTTATCAACCGGAGGGCAGCCCTACAACCAAAGTAACGAGCAGCACCGATAAAGGCGTCAATAACACTCCCTTCTGACCCCGAGATAAAGAAAAAATTGCAGTGTAAACACCACCATCTTATCGATCGCTGATATTTGGCGCCATTTTTCCAGTGGCGTTGAATTACTCCGAGTACTTCCCATCCACCAGAGGCAGGTCGTAACCTTCCGTGTACACGAAAATGCCGAAGTACAAATGCCCCTATTCAGTCTGCGACTACGAGACAGAGGAAGCTGAGGACCAACTCGCAGCGGTATTGTTGCAAATCCACTCGACCGGCGTGAACAATAACAACCAAGCAACAAACACACCCACGAGCATCAACGCCACGGCGAAGATTGAAAAGGTCAGACGGCCAACCATATCCCCTGCCGGGTCCAGTGAGGAATGGACGTACTTCCAGACACGCTGGCAGGATTATGTCGAAGCCACAAAAATAACCAGCAATACTCGAATGCTGTGACGAAACACTTCGTAAGGACCTCACCAGAAACGCTGGCGGCACCCTCACAAACAAACTCATCGATGACGTCATGGCCGAAATCCGCGAACTCGCTGTACGAGAGGAAAACACGATGTTGGCCCGCATCAAACTACACAACATGCGCCAGGACCGTGACGAAACTATCGCAGCTTCGGTGCTTGTCTTCGTAGACAAGCCAGCGTATGCAAGTTTACGATTAACTGTCCCAACTGCGCAACAGAAATCAACTACACAGACAATATCCTACGCGACATATTAACCGTTGGAATCACCGACAGCGACATCACCAGACTTGCTCAGCGATAAAAATCAAAATATGACACTGGAGGAGACATTCCTGTTCATAGAAGCCAAAGAAGCCGGCAGAAATTCGGCCAACCACCTACTCAATAGTCAATACGTCGATGCTACCAGAAGAGAATATCTCCGCGGCAAACAAGACAATATGACCCAGGGCGTGCAAACCAATAAAACTGGACCATGTTTCTACTGTGGGAAACATGGCCATGGTAGAAACGCCTCACCCAATGTCCGACGACAGGAATGACCAAATTACGGCTAAACATGCGAGAGCTGCAGACGTCCTAACCACAACGCCTCCATGTGCAGAAACTAAAGCGTCGGGACGCAAAACACAACGCAAACCGCGACAAAGAGGACGCAGTGTTTGACAGCCTATGCATGACAAAAAGCCATCAGCATTGCAACAACGGAATCATGCTAGACCACCATAATTATAATGACATGAATGACCGTTGGGTGAAAAAACCGTCACATTCCTAACCGTTCCTCCATATAAATGCAAAGTGTCACCCAGAGGACTACACAGCCCTCGGGTACACCCTGCATTTTACAAGACATCGCTCAGTCACATTGAATGCCATGGCGGACACTGGACGACAGAGCTGCCTTGCTAGCATGCATTTAATGAAACGACTAAGACTACGCCAGAAAGACCTGCTCCCAGTCACTATGCGCATGCACGCTGCGAACAACAATGGCATTGATATCATCGGTGCAGCCATCGTGAGATTCTCTGGTCAATCCAAAGACGGACGGGTGTTGGAGAGCCGTCAAATTATATATGTCACTCGTGACTCAAATAAACTCTTCCTCAGTCGTGAGACATGCGCCGCCCTGGAAATTATCCCAAACAGCTTCCCCACCGTGGGAGACACAATGTCAGTAGACATACATACAAACCAGTCTATTCACGTTGTAGCAGAACACCCCTCAAAGCGCACATGTGACTGCCAACGTCACCAACTGCCGCCACCTAAACCCACAGTACCGCCCTTCCATGCAACCGAAGACAACCGAAAAAAAATAGAGGACTGGCTGCTCCATAAAAGTCCAGTACGTTTAACACTTGCGATCAACAACAACGGCCACTCATGGAAGGCCCACCAATGCGAGTCATGATTGACCCAAATGCGAAACCTAAAGCACACAATACACCAATCCCAGTCCCTTTACACTGGCAGGACGAGGTGAAAGCTGGCCTTGACCAAGACGTGGCCCTCGGCGTTATTGAACACGTCCCAATAGGCGAGCCTGTCACCTGGTGTAACAGGATGGTCATCTGTGCGAAAAAGAACGGTTAACCACGACGAACCGTTGACCTACAGGCACTAAATGCAAACGCCACTTGGGGGACCCACCACACCCAGAGCCCTTTTCACCAGGCCCGCTCTGTCCCCAGTGGCAAAAAGAAATTAGTGTTCGACTGCTGGAACGGTTATCACAGCGTTCCCCTTCACACAGACGACAGACACCTCACCACATTTATCACTCCCTGGGGTCGCTATCGGTATAAGTCAGTGCCACAAGTGTACATTGCCTCGGGCGACACAGACTGACACCCCGGAGCCAGCACCCATGCCGAACATAGATACCGCAGATGGAACTTCACCAAACGCAACCAAGATACCTGAAGATGCCAGTGAACCTACACCAGCGACCACAAAGCCAAGCGAGAAAGCACCACTAGCTCTACGCGGATTACTCGATTTCAACAAGAAAGGGCTGTTAAAAAATTGAAAGGATGAACAAATATCAAAGAGCAACTTTATATTACGCTTTCCTATACTAGGAAAGACTTAGGGGGGGATAGAGCATAATGGGATAATCGTTGATTAATAAGGGCCTGGACCCAACTGTTATTGTTGTTTGCATTCGTTGACGAATGACCTCTGTGTTTTGTCTCTAGGTCAGTAAGACTAAAAGGTCAGTTAGTCCGGCTGAAGACAGAACCAGACATTTTGGATGAGTATGACAAGACAATCAAAGATCAGTTGAGTAGCGGTGTTATAGAACCAGTCAACGAATTAGAGCGAGCTGATAAAATACGTTACCTACCACATCATGCAGTTGTTTGTAAAGATGCGAAGACAACCAAGGTACGAGTTGTTTATGATGTGTCCTGTAAAGAGTCAGCAAATGATTCATCGCTTAATGACTGTTTGCATGTGGGACCCAAATTAGCACCATTGTTATTTCACATTTTGATACGGTTTAGGGAGAAAAGAGTTGCGTTAGTGGCAGACATTGAAAAGGCATTTTTGAACATTGCAGTTGACACTTTGGACAAGGATTGCCTAAGATTTTATGGGTAGATGACGTGAATAGTGAAAGGGTAAGACCTGTGGAATACCGGTTTTCTAGAGTAGTGTTTTGGGTTAATTGCTCTCCATTTTTGTTGAATGCAACGCTACAGTATCATTTAGACTCATTCATGGAAGCAGATATAGAATTTGTTAGGAAACTCTGAGACAGCTTTTATGTAGATGACCTTGTGTCAGGTGATCAATCAAGGAAAGCAGCAATCATGTTATATGAGACAGCAAGTAAGCGAATAGCTGCAGGGGGATTTAAGCTTAGGGAATGGCTTAGTAATGATAAGAGTGTTCTTAAAGAAATAGAAAGGAGAGAAGGAAGCAATATAGAAGGGAGAAAGGAAGATGTAGTTATAAAGAATGTGGTTGATAATCAAACTTACGCAAAAGCATCTGTTGGGGGAAATAGTAGTAGTGGAAGTTTTGAGAAGGTACTGGGATTGGGATTGGTGTGTAAATCAGATAAATTTGTGTTTTGCCTGTGGAAATTGGCTGAAAGAGCAAAAACACTCATTCCTAGTAAGCGAAACATACTAAGTGTACTTTAAGCCCAATCATAGTTTGTGTTAAGTTATTGTTTCAGGAGTTGTGTATTGGGAAAATTGAATTGCATAAAGAGTTGGATGGTGACAGGAGGAAACGGTGAGAGGTGTGGATAGAAGAGTTAGAGCAAGTAAGGGACTTAGTAGGGACGAGATATGTTTAAGGTAGTTTGATTGGTGAGGCAAATTGTTACTTGCATGGGTATGCAGATGCCAGCCTGAAGGCATATTGTGCCGTAATATATTTCGTAACAGAAATAAATGGCGCAGTTCACAGTTAGAGTTAGAAGTGAGGGAACCAATTTTATTGCCTAAGGATCACCACTTAACAGAATTAATCATCAAAGATTGCCATAGGATGGTTCGCCATAGTGGGGTGAGAGCGACCTTAGCTCAGCTACGCAGCAAATTTTGGGTGCCTCGAGGTAGACAGAAATTGAAAAGGGTGATTGGTAATTGTATGATTTGTAGAAGGCATCAAGGCGAAGCTTACGAAACACCAGTGCAAGCAGATCTGCCAGACTTTAGAGTACAATATTCCCCTCCCTTTTCTAAGGTAGGTGTGGATTTTGCGGGACCATTGTTTGCAAAAGAAGGTGGGCAGATGGTTAAGGTGTACATTGCATTATTTTCTTGCTGTGTGACAAGAGCAATTCATCTTGACTTAGTGGATAGTTTAAGTGCACGTTGTTTTTTGAATTACATGCGAAGGTTCACCGCTAGAACGGGAACACCTTCGCCAATGGTTTCGGACAATGCCAAGACGTTTAAAGCAACTGAGAAAACATGGAAGGCGATTTATGATAGCAAGGAGGTGAAATCATTTTTGGAAGGTAATAGGTTGGTGTGGAAATTTAATTTGGCAAGGACACCTTCGTGGGGTGGATTTTTGAAAGAATGGTAGCGTTGGTGAAACGTTGTCTGAGGAAGATATTGGGTGATGCTAAATTGAATAGGGAAGAACTGTTGACGACATTAGTTGAGGTAGAAGGTACGTTAAACTCCAGACCATTGACGTATGTGTACGATGATGAAGTAAATGTGGATGTACTGACTCCTTCCCATCGCATGTTTGGAAGGCGATTAGCATCTATTCCAGACGAGGAAGTTCAAAACTCTATTAGGGATGAAGATGAAGTAGAGATAAACGTAGGTTTGGATATTTAGTGAAATTGAGGACACATTTTTGGTCAAGATGGAGGAAGGACTACTTAACAAATTTAAGAGAATACCATAAGGTCGAAAAAGAGAAGGGTAGTTTTTGTCCAAAAGTAGGTGATGTCGTTCTTGTTTTTGACGAAAGTTTAAAAAGAGGGTTTTGGAAAACAGCGAGAATTGAGAGATTAGTCGTAGGAAGGAATGATATAGTCAGAGGAGCAGAAGACAGAGTTGTCAGTAAAGGAAGGCTTCAGCATATATGTAGGCCTCTGCAAAAATTGTATCCACTTGAGATAGATGTAAGGGTACATGATAACGGAGTGCAAGGTAGTGAGAAATTAGAGGATAGAGAAAAGGAGAGCATGGCAGGAAGGAAGTAACAGGAGACCCAGAAGGGCTGCAGCTGTGGATGCATGTTGGCAAACAAAAGTTATGTTTGACCCTAAAGGCTCAAAGGAGTGAGTGTGTCGGAAATTATGTAAATAAATTATGATTGTTATTTAGACTAGGAACTTATCGTTAAAGCGGAAAAAGGAACTTATGATTATTGAGTATTTTAGAAGGGTCAAATTAAGACGGCATTGTCTTTTGTTGATGCCCGTGAACGAGTATAGAGCATGAATTGGAATTGATGTATAAGTTTGACTAGAAATTTAAATTGATGACATTTTGAGAATTGTGTTTGATTACGCGCTAGCTTTAGATAATATACAGTCCCATAGAGAACCGGCGACGCATAACTGCTTTGTGCTAACGTGCAAAGGAGAAATTTGCTACACTAGTTTTAGCAAAATGACGTCAAAGAGACATTGAAAAAAGTCATGGGCGTAGGATGATCAATAATTAGTATCACAAATGCACGAGAGTGTTCAACTTCTTTGAAATTCAGTGTTCTCAACGGGTTATACATTGCATATAGGAGTATGAGCCCCCCCTAATTACCCATGAAAAAGCTAAAACTCACAATGTCCAGTGTATACTGCATATTGCTCTGACCACTGCAAATCCAAACATCTCCAAATAAAACATCATCCAAAGTTATCTTTTTAAAACTTCCTTGTACGTATGAATAAGCAGAAATACGATATGGTCCTCCAGCACTTATTGGCTGTAATACAACTTGCCAAACTCCGACTTCTTCCCTTCCTATACAAAGAATAACATAATAACAATGATTGTATACATAGTGCTACCATTTACAAATACAAATACAAAGACACGTTTGTGTAACATTTTAAAAAAGCATATAGTTCCAGAAGTAAATTTGGTAAAATTTTCTGGAATAAGTAGACTTCCAAAGTAAAACTTCATAAGAAATTTTTTCTTTAACAATAGTGAATGACTGAAGCAGTTTGGTTATACTGGCAGTCCCTCTAATTCTTATCAATTTAAAAAACAATGTTGGCTTATTTAAAGTTTTGTTGAATTACTTAAAAACTAATGAAATTAAGGTATTTGAACGAATATTTCCAGTTTGGAAAAATGAGTTTTAATAATATTATTTAATTTCAGTCATCTGCAATATTCGTTTGCATTATAACGAAACCCTTTTCTTTCTTGATGCAATAATCTTTTACACATTTTGGTATCGACTGAAGGTAAAGAACAGAATTTTATGATATAATCCAATTTATTTTATGATCATTGGATAACGCAGAATTACAACAGCGGCATATTGTTGTATTTGTTTAAATTTCATTGTAGGTGCTTAACGTTCTTTGACTTTACAACTTTGTGACAAATCACATCTTTTAAAATCTTTCTAAACTTTTGCAATTTATTAGAAAATGCTGCTATTCTAAATATTAATTACATTATTGCTTAAATTTATGGCTATACTGCTGCTTTTTCTATTTGTGTTCTAGATGTTCTTAATCAAATGGTTTTATGCGATGACTGCGTTGCAAAACATCACTATCTTTTCCATACGTTTTTACTCTTTTTGCAACAGAATTAAACTTACTTTTTTATTTCAAGTAGTGTAACATCAGACTCCAATAATTATTTACATGATGCAAGGGATTTTTACCCAACCTATGGTTAATGCATATGGCGCGAACATTGAATTTCTGTGTTTTGAGAATTCCGCAATCCCTCAAGTCAATTTCAGTTTTCGAATTAAGAGCAGACCACGTATTTAATTATCGAATATATCTTCTTCATAGAATATGTCCTACGCAGCAGACAAATTTGGTTTTGTTATGTGATGACTTGTAACTTAGGGTCGACTAATGAGGCGAGTTTCCCGCTTAAACGATTCAACTCACCTAGCTGAGACAAGTTAAAAATTTCAATTACGTGAAAAGTGTTGAACTCCATAGGTGAGCAATTTTTTGCAGGAATAATTAGTTACATAGTTTATTTTTTATGAATTGAAAAGACGCACCAGTGCCTACCTGTTTTGTTGACTTTGTAGGATCAAATGTATTATCTCAATATTTGTAAGCAATAAGTACACGTACTGCTTCTCGGCAAATGTTTTCCGCATTAAACTCACTTATTAAACTCAATATAAGTTTTATATTTTGATGGTATTAACTAGGATACAGTATGGCAACTAAGGAAGGCAACAAATACATTTGTTAATATTGCTTGCTGTATTGATGATAAAAAACTCGAAAGAGCTAAAACCTTTTAAACCTCATTCGATTTGTTGTTTAGTGTTCTTTAAAGTTTTCAGTTCCTAAAGTTTATCACCGTTAAAAGTTATAAGCTGAACCTTTTAAGCTCTGTTGGTGTAATAAACGCGCATGCTTTCGATATGAGTTATTGTCATGGTTATGTACCATACAAATATCATGGCTTGGGTCATTTGTGAACTTTCCTAAAAGCCGTAAGATGGTTAAATGTGAGCATAAATTATAAAATAGCTGTCCAGATTTGAATCACACTTTTTGTTTATACGTAATAATACAATCATATTAGCGATAATATATTTAATTGTTTCACCCTCAAGAAGTATATGTACTTCTTGAGCTAAGTTACATGTAGTGGAAAAGAACATGTAGAGATGTATTCATTAATTTCTTGGGTAAGGAATGGTTATGGAATACTGGTAATGAAATGATTTTGTTTATTTCGCAAGTACAGTGGGATGCACAAACAGCCTCAAAACAGAAACACTTAAGAGATTCTAAGGAAAAAACGGTGATTTGCAAACCCAAGTTTTTCTACAAGACGGTTTTCAGTGTTGTAAGCATAACAGTGAAATATATTGTTTTTTGAACAACCGGTATAGCTCGATAACTTTTGTTTTTCATACGTAGATTTTATGAATTGTGTTTTGTATAATTGCCAAACATAATTCTATCGCTCAAGTCAATAACATATGATTTTATTACACATGATTACATATGACATATGTATATATGATGTTTGAAGCTAAAAAACTTTACTAGAGTAGCATAAAAAGAACGCCTGGTGTTTGTGACTTGAAAAACAGTGACACTATGGGAGTGCATATGGAAGACACAATATAGTTCTTATTTAAATCTCAAAATGAACTGTAGCCACACTTCTTTATTTATATACTTGTATTGCTGTATAAGTGTTGTAGCAGCAAATTGTAGAGTGTGAGTGTAAAGTCAAATTTCCATTAAAAGAAATTTCAATATAACTAATTTGTTTGATTAACATTATAGTTGAGTTTTATTTCAAACTGCCAAGTAACTTAACTCATTAACTGAGTAAGATCAACATTTACTCCCTTTTTAGAAAACTATGGGTGCATTTCACTTGAGAAGCGTATTCACTTTTTGCATGCACGATATTCATATTTGAGTAAGCAAGACGTAAAACTCATTAACAAATACTTTTCATTTTGAGTAGCATTTACTCAAAAATATGCTCACAATCAACGCTTTTGTTGTGTCGGAATAAAGTAGAATCAAAAGTTACTATGGGGTTCACATTTACTCAATATTTTGAGTCCTAAATACTCAAGGCTTTTACAGTTAACTCTTTTTTTATCTTGGTATACTTTCAAAATTCTGTGTAACAATTTTTTCTATGAGTTTTGGGAGCTCGTAGCTGCTTTTTGAACAAATAGACAGGTATACACAGTTAGGCACTGTTATATTATTTACCTGTACAGGAAATCCTCATCCAAATTACTAAACTTTATTAAAGTGCTACCGGGTATCAAAAACATGGACGATTTTGGATATTAATGTCAGCGGAAGAACGCATGCTTGCCAAATTAAAACTTCCCGCAACCAGTATTGTCAATAATAACTCAAGCACCGCGGAGGATCGATAATTAAGGGGTGGTAGGGCTCATGTTCATATATTCATGATATGCAGGCTTAACCTCGTTTGAAATCCATTGTTTTCTAAGGATTATAACATGAATATATGAATATGAGCACCCAATTATCGATCCTCCGCGGTGCCTGTAACTTGTATATATACGGCGATAAAAAAATCAATGCTTTTGTCCAAAAAAACTTTTTAAAGCTTCATCAATGAAACGTATTTAAAACTTGTATGGTGGACGAATCCTGTAGTAAGATAAAATAACGGATAATATTTTTTGTCATGTTATGGCATTGGCAAATATTTTCTTTATGTTTTTTCACCACTAAATTATATTTTTTTACTACTTAATAGGTGGCATGCAGACGATGCTAAGCCGCCAATTCTTTTCGAGATATACATCCCTTGTTATCAAGAGAGCTTATATACAATAAATTAGGATTTTTTCATATTTTTCTAAAAATATGATACATTATAATAGTTTGCCATTTAATGCAGTACCAACAATATTTAAAACACTGTGGTAAATGAACAAAAAAAATGCATATTGCATAATTTGCAATTTTTTGTTGTTCACCAATAAAACAATATGTTTCTAAAGAAATGAAAAATGCTGATGGTAAAAAATTTACCTTGCACGAAAAAATTCAAAGGTTGGCTATCCCACTGTGCTCTTTTGTGTTACTTTTATTTGTAATTGTTGTTTAAATAAAGTAGAGGTATACGATGTACAATGAGTGTACATCGCTCTAACGTCTATGTTAATTTGAACTAACCAATAAATACATGCAAGATTCATACGCCTTGGCCCACTTTGCCGAGCTACCTCTGCAGAATGCAATTACATGGGAAATTCCATCCCACCCAGGGGAGTAACTTGGCAAACAACAACCGGGATCACGGCGAAGCCGGACAACTCAAATAATTGCCTTGTCTAACTGTCAAATAAAATATCTCACATTTACAAACGACTCAATTCAGCAAAGGGGACATCTCGCCCTTGTAATCGGTCACATACACTAACTGTAAAACAATAAGAAATAAATATTATTAGGATATAAATAATAATAAAGGGTAATATGATTTAGGAACTTTATATCTATAACGATCATACATGATTGGATAATTGATCATGGATTTCGGCACTAGCAATTATGCTTATAATAAGGTTCATTGTCGTATTAATTAACACCCTATCTCTTTACTTTTGTTATTCTGTTCTATAGCACTGCACATTGTGTTTTGTTCCATATATTGATGTCATAATAAAATGGTTCCTTAAACATAATAATTCCAATAAATATTGACATTTAACTTTTTAAATAGCACGACAAAGACTCTGTGCTGGTTATTCCACAGTAAAAAAAAACACACTGTAGAGCCACTCCATTGAATATTTTTGTGCTACGCATATCTCATTGCCTATGTGATTACAATAGTTACAGCCAGTGAATTTCTTTCTCTGACCAATTGGCGCGCTGAGATGGCAAACGGCAACCAGTAATCTAATTTAATATACAGCAGGTTGTTGCAAAGTGAAGTGGATCTACTGTATATTCCGTATACTGTGGGGGCTATTTCTAAAACCAGGAACGGGGAACGGAGCGAGGTACGGAAAGGGGAATGGGAAAAACCAGGAATACTAAAAGCCGGAATCTCTAAAACAAGGAATACTTAAAGCTGGAATTCTCTGAAAACAGGAATAATTTACCAGGTGGTTAGCAAAATCACATGTGGTCCTCCTATTAACATGGCAGCAAGTTTTATTTTTAAAATATATTTGCAAAAAATACGGTATTATAACAAATATGAGTGAAAAATTGCCTTTTTTGATGGTTGTAACCCCAATCGTAAATGTAGTTATACCTTGTTTAGCTCAGTTTCATTGGACA